CATACGCATCGCAACAGAGTGTGCACAGGGGTCTCCCTCCATCCTTCCCTGCTCCATAATGAGCAAGAAACTAAACACAATCGGAGACGTTACAGGACAGAGCAGAACTGGCCCTACGGCTGGAATCCACACAGAAGCACAGTCTCATCTTTACCCCACAGAAAGGTGTTGAGTTTGAATCACCGACCTTCCGGTTAGCAGTAAGTGCTTCGTTGCTGTGCCATGAGGGCTCTGGAAATAAATATTAGATAGAACTTTTTTAAAAAACGATTGCCTGTAAATGTTCAGTAAAATTATTTTTAAAAAATTAAAAAATAAAAAAAAAAAACGATTGCCATCAAGTCCAATCCTGCTCAGGGCAACTCCAAGTATTTCCGCATAGAACTGCAGTGGACCGGGTCTTCAAAGGCCGTAATCACACAGCACTGAGACCTGGAAAGTGAGAGGTAAAGTGCCAAGGCAAAGACAGAACTTTACAGCACAGGTGGGCCTAGCCCAAGCCATGCAATGTTCAGTTGCTTCAAACGCATGTGAAAGCTGGCCAACGAATGGGGAATACCACAGAAGCTCTGATGTCTTTGCACTGTGGGGCTGGTGGAGAACACTGATGTCTCAGGACCACTGGAAGGACAGATAAACCTGTGTTGGAAGACACACAAGACACACAAGCCGAGTGCCCTTTATGAAGCAGGAATGATGACACTACTGCACAGAACAACTTGGGCACGTTATTCAGAGGGCCAGGCCCTAGGAAGTGATGCTATGCTTCCAAAGCAGAGGAAGATGCTCAGTGAGAAAGACTGACGCAGGGACTGCACCGACGGACTTGAGCACAGCAGAGATCTGAGCATCAGAGGTGGTGCAGCGTTTCCTCTGCTCTGTTGTACCCAGGGTGCCAGGTGTCAGAGCCGACTCAAACAGCACCTAACAACCACAACCTCACAACAGCCACAACTGCTAGACAAGTCTGTCTGCGGCATCCCTGGGTGGATCTGAACCATCATGCTTTTGATTAGTCACTGGGTAAAGCCGTCTGCACCAGGGTGTACCTATCTGCTAGCTACCGTGCTGGGGAGAGTGGCCCTGAGGTGTCTCCTGCCACCAGCACGTAAGCTCCCTGAGGACAAAGACTGGTGTTTCAGCTGTTAGAGCTTCTACACCTCTAGAAAGTGACATGATGCTCACACTCAATTCGTGTTAGAGGAGTCTTCATAACATCCTGTAAGTAAAGAAGGGAAAGAAACTCAACTCAGATCTAAATGTTCTCAGTGTCTCTCTGCCCAGAGACTGCTGAGGTGTCTACATTTTCACTTTCAAGAAAAGCATACCTTTATTTTGTATGTAACCAAAAATGCAGTGAAAAACCAAAAGACAGGAAAAGATAAGTGAGAAAACATCCATGTTTCCTTGGTGATGAGAAAAGGACTTTTCATGAGACAAGTTAAATTATGCAAATTATGAAGACAAACTCACTTTCACTGGCCCCTAACATTTTCTCTCTCATTTATCAATCATTAAAGGCTTTCCTGAAAAGCGCTTCCCTCCTTTGTTTCTCTCCCCAGTAATGAAGTTCATTCTTCCCACTGAATTATGTGACATTTACTTTCCTGATCACCATCCGATACAAACAAACTCTGCTTGCTTTCTTTTTAAAAATCAGGAAGGAAGAAAAGATTGTGGCACCTGAAACAAATGGGAACGCATCAGGATGGGGTGCTTTCTCAATCCCAGGCACTCTTTGTTAGAAGCAGAGGAGATGCTATCAACACGAGTGACAGGGGGTCAAAGCTGAAATCTAAGCTGGTGCATCCCTTGAGATTAGGACAAAGGCCCCTCGGTCAGCCCAGCTAATCAGAAAACACAAATACCAAAAGGTCCTCACCTGCGCAATGGTTACTTGCAGCCCGGCCAGAGGTCAGCAGCTCTCTCAGTCATTTGCTGACCCTTCCTGAGCTCAGAATATTGGGTCAAAACAGAGTACAGTTGACTTTCAATCTAGATCCACAGCTTTCCCTGCTTTCTCAGATTAAATCCACAGGATGAACTCAGCACGTGAAAAGGTTAAGAATTACTGTGTTCTTTTCAAAAATGCTTGGTTCATTTTAAAAGGTAAAGAGGTCGCCACGTTGCTTCAAAAGGGTTCCAAGCTTACTGACTCTGACAGTGACCTCTCAGAGGCTGAAGGTCATGTATCAGCAGGGCTCTTAGAAGAGGGGGGTTTGCATCTGCTTAAGATGCAGTCAAGTGGGCAGGAGACGGAGCAGGTGAGAAACCCGCAGGCCTGGCACTGCTGGGCAGGTCCGTCCAGGGACTTCAGGAGTGGAGGCTCCCTCTCCCTGCACAAGGCAGTGGGTGTCAAATCATGGTCTGTACCCCCTCAGCCCCCACAGCGGTACTGCAGGGGTCAGAAGGGGTCAGCAGCAGGGGTCAGCACGAAGCTCTGGACCAAATGCTCCTACACCAAAGAAGGCATCACTTCTCTTACCATTTGGTATGTTGACTCTGCCAAAGACCACATTTAAAAATAATGAAAGAAAAGATTCCTGCCATTGAAAACAGGCAGCAAAGGCTTTAGTGCCCAGGAGAGCAGAGTGTGAAGTCCATGTTTGCTGAGTGAGAAACAGACATACTCAACAATCAGCTCAGTAAGACATAGCAAACCTAGCTACCAAAGGGTCACCCCAAAAGTCCTAAAGGAATGGGCGTCAACAGGCACAGCAAGAACAATGACAATGAGACAACAGACTGTATTATTACCTTTGTTGTGTAATGTGTGTGTTGTCAAGTTGGAACCAACTCACAGCTGACCTTTGAGCGGGTTTCTGAGGTTTTAAATCACATGAGAGGAGACCGCTTATTTTTCTCCCATGGAGCAGCTGGTGGACAACTTCTTATCACTAGGCCACCAGGGCTCTCTTATATACTGTATAGTTCTGTGATAGTTACGTAAGTATCCACTCCTTGGCAAAATATAAAAATGCTTTCCTTCAAACGAGTATAAATGCAACTCAAACACACAGCTTTTTAAGGATCTACAAAGGAGAGG